TGATCAATCTAATTATTTTTATATAATAAATTACAATGATTATAAAATCATATGAATATAATTTTATTTTACTAGGTTTTTATGTTAATATATATATATATATATATATAAATCTCATATCGTATGATTAAATAATTTTATTTTCAACATAGTTAGAATTTAAACTTAATTTTTTTCTAAAATTATTTTTTTATATAATAATTTTTTCTAATATAATTTTCTGATATTATTAGACAAATAAATAAATTATATTAAATTAGTTTTGAAAATTTATATATTCTAAATCACTATGGGAAATGTGGATATTAATAGTATCAGATTATAGCGTTTAAGGCGATTCTGCTATTGCATATCAACACTGGCTCTTTTAGTAGCGTTTATAAATTTAAAAAGCTATGTTTAGTTATACGTCCTATCTATGGCTATTTGTTAGAGGTAAATTATAGTATTCATGTCGCACTTTTCAACCTATCGTCTGTGTTTGTGCTTCCCAAATAAGATTATGTTGGTAATAAACTAAGACACTGTAAATTCGGAAAACAATGAGAAACAGATTTCTTAACAACAACTACTCCTCACTTGGATCTGTAATTCGTTTCGGAATCCAAATCACACAAACTATTCCTTACTTGGCAGAGCAAGAAGCTAAAATTTTTAAAATATCTGGCTCATTTAGCCTATCTCAAAGAAACAGAAAGGAGAGAAATTACTGATGGTAAGTATTGAATCAAGTAAAACCTGTCAAAGATTCTTTAATATTCCAAAACATAGGTGAAAAATCACCAGCAGAAAAACAATAAAGAAAAATAGCAAAGGTTTGTAATGGGAAACAGAGGTAGTAGTAGTTCTTTTAAAAAAAGGGATGTTGACGGGTTGAGAGGAATAGATATCCCAAACCCAACGGTTGTGCTTTTGTTTCTTCTGGGAGTTTGAAATCTCCGGAGGATCAACTGCAGCACATTTCCCCCAGTCTTGTCTCCCAGAACAGACGGTCCCGAAGACTTTGCTGTCAATCCTTCGTCACCTCCAGCACTTGGAAAAAGACTCCCACCGTGTTCCTGAGATACAGTAACGTCATGTGTAAATAATATGGTTCAATTTCTAGGAGGAAATTTAGTTATATGGTTTCAGAGAGAACTTAGGACGAAAAATATGAAGATAAAAAAGAATGTAAAGTTGTTTAATTAAAAAAATAAAAATTCTAAAATGTTATTACATAAACATAAACACTCATTCACCTAATACTTTAGTATGTTTCTAATATGAACTCTCTTATACTATAAATAATATTTGAAAAAGAAACATTGAAAAATATAGTAAGAGACATGATGGATGGATTCATATAAGATTTAAAGAAATCAGTAAACGGAAGCACAGGCGCTTGCCTCACTGCGATTGAAGCGGTTTGACACTGTTTAGTTTCTCTTATAAGTTTCATCCCCTGAAACTCAAGCACAAGAGTTTTTAGTTTTGTGCTTGCAATGTAAAGAGGCAATAACCAAACTTCATTCACCTTTCAGAAGTTTTTTTTTCAACGAATCGATTTTTGTCTCAAGCACAGCACACGCAGACTGAATCTCCATGTTCTTAACACAGAGCTGTCTCCATTCTTGAAATAGAGCGTTGAGCTCATACGCTGTGGTTTGCTGATATTGCCACAAGAAAAAAAGCTTATATAAGATTAACCCGTAAACCAAAGAGTAGAATGCTATGAAGAAAATGTAGAATAAATACTTCAATAGTATTATCACCAGATGGAATTTCTTTTCATGGTTAACTTTTTTAATCCCCTCGTTTTGCTCCTGAGCTAGTGATATCACTCAAATTACCCTAAGGAGTGAATTACTCTCTCAAATAAGAGGTTCAATTGTACTTAGGGATCGAATCCATAAAGAACTAAGGAACACAAGATATAATCCTAAGTGATTATTCTAGGTTGATTATGGTTTAAAAGATAAAATGCAGTTGTGAGAAATGGTAAGTTGCTCAAGAGAGTTTGGTTTTAGGTTTTAAACAATAAAATAAAGTAGTTAGATTCAAGGTTACTATTCAGAAAATCAGGATTATAAGGCTATAGATGTCTTTATAAGTTGCTTGCAAGATATTAAAGAACTTCAATTCTTAGATAAATCTATAGCTATCGCTATTAGACTAGTCCATTGATCTGACTCCCGGCTATATCGACCGATGGTATTATCGCAATATCAGCCGATATATGTAGCCGTCGATCGATTACTCTATAGGAGTATCGATCGATATAGCTTCAGATTGAATCGAATGTGTTCACCAAGATCATAGACCGGCTCTCGCATCGTCCCTAGAATTTCAACTTATACCAGACGATTTCAGGATGATGATTAGCAAGTTAAATCATTCCATGATCATACTCTAGTTAGTTACTCTAAAGTAAGCATTAGGGCTCATCAGGATAATGAATATCACAACTAAATAATCCATAGTTGGGGCTAATCCCTCATAACTATTTGAACCCTAAATCTAACAAGTGAATCTACTCAGACATGGCTAAGTGATTCATAGCAACAAGGTAATAATAGAAATTCATTAGATTAGAAGATTGAACTCTAAAGTACAAAAAGCACTAAAACAATGAAAGCATCTCTAGCCAAAACTAATAGACAAAACTATAAATATGAGTTCCATTGGATTAAAAACTCGTCATGGGCAATCTTGTAATATTGAAAGAACTTGGGCTTCAAGTCGGCCAAATCAAACTTGCTCTTCACGCTTCATATCGATCGATGGTACATGGTGTACATCGATCGATGGAGTATCTCAATTCGTCATTCTCTTCGGAAGCGTCGTCGATTGATTACACAAGATGTGTATCGATTGATATGTATCTCTAGATATCGACCTTACTGTCTAATCTTTACAGTCATCTCGGGAAAACTCTCCTTTAAGCTCCATAAGGGCACATAAATCATCACTTTACTCCAAAATACTCCTGAACCTGAAAACATACCTAATAGACTCCAAAACATATAAATATATTATAAAATTATATAAATACCATGGTCAAAAGTTGGTCAAAACTATGGTATATCAGCTGTCTTTCATTCTGGAAAAAAAGAGACCAAGTAACGTGTTGAGATCAATCTGTCTGTGTTGAAATCCCAAGAGCACGAAGAGCTTTTTGTGTTTTAAGAAAGAAGAAACTCTCACAAACAAAACCACATGATGTAAAAACACAAATCAAGTCTAGCACAAATGCAAAAAACCACATGAACGATAAGTCGGATCGAGATGGAACGGGAGATGTTTCGGCCATGGTTCAGAACACGACCGTGTCGAAAGACGTAAGTTTCGAATCGGGAATACGGGAGATCGAGGCGCGGGATATCCGGGAAATCTGTAGTTCGCCGATGGGCGAACTAGTCGAGTGCTTCCTAGTTCGCCCATCGGCAAAATAAGCCGGGCCGGCTTAGTTCGCCGATGGGCGAACTAGTCGAGTATCTCCTAGTTCGCCCATCGGCGAACTAAGCCGGCCCGGCTTAGTTTGCCGATGGGCGAACTAGTCGAGTGCCTCCTAGTTCGCCCATCGGCGAACTAAGCTGGGCCAGCTTAGTTCGCCAATGGGCGAACTAGTCGAGTGCCCCTTAGTTCGCCCATCGGCGAACTAAGCCGGTTCGGCTTAGTTCGCCGATGGGCGAACTAGTCGTGACTAGTACGCGTTTTACGGCTGTTTCAGTTTTTTGCGGTTTCGTAAAACGATTCTTTGAGTTTTATAAAACGATTCTTCGAGTTTTATAAAACGATTCTTCTAGTTTTATAAAACGATTCTTCGAGTTTTATAAAACGATTCTCGAGTTTTATAAAACGATTCTTCGAGTTTTATAAAACGATTCTTCGAGTTTTATAAAACGATTCTTCGAGTTTTATAAAATTATTCTCGAGTTTTATAAACCGATTCTTCGAGTTTTATAAAACGATTCTCGAGTTTTATAAAATAATTCTTCGAGTTTTATAAAACGATTCTCGAGTTTATAAAACGATTCTTCGAGTTTTATAAAAAGATTCTTCGAGTTTTATAAAACGATTCTCGAGTTTTATAAAACGCTTCTTCGAGTTTTATAAAACGATTCTCGAGTTTTATAAAACGATTCTTCGAGTTTTATAAAACGATTCTTGAGTTTTATAAAACGATTCTTCGAGTTTTATAAAATGATTCTCGAGTTTTATAAAACAATTCTTCGAGTTTTATAAAACGATTCTTCGATTTTTATTAAAACGACTTTCTGTTTTAATAAATGAATTTTGCGGAAAGTAATGATTCCAGAAGTTATCGTAGACGTTGATTTCGAGATTACGGTTTTTGACACCAACAAGCATGAAGCTGCATTACCTTTGCTTTTGAATCACGTAGGATTGGTACGACAATGTTTTATACTACATCATTTGGTTAGGGACCCTTAAAAAGTCCTAATATCATTGTCAGTCTGCTACTATATAGCCCCCGAAATTCTTGGTGAAGATCCAAATAAATACTTATCACCTAAGTATGTTGCTGAGCATGACAAACTCGTAACATCCCTAAACAGGGTCAGTTATCTCGAAAAGATAGCTCTCATACACCGACACAAGGGTAATAGTGCTATAAACGAAATCTAAACTTTTGGCTAGTACTTCCGGACGACTTAAAAATTGTCTCCGGTGAGATGCTCTATTCCGACCAGACGAGTTGTACAAGCCGAGAACCTATCGCGGACTCTAAATCGGTACGGAATCATCAGGCAAAACAAACGCTGACTAGTCATCGCAAAGCCTTAAAAACGAAAGTAAACCTAGGTCTTACCCTAAACCTAGCACATTGGCTCTAACTTCTCAAGGCATGAAATGAGATCCTAAACGTATGCCTCTTCGTTCACAATTAAACGCTCACGATATTCTAAACACCCTAAAATGAGCCGTTGCCACGATCTAGATAGATAGCAACCTCTTGATCATCATCTGGAACCTAAACATCTCTTTCACCAGTCATCTCATCCAAGCTCGGATCCGCACCATCTCTGATTTCTCCAACCATATGATCTTTCCCCTCTAGGTCTTCTGAACACCTTGGAAGTGTCGGACTTCAGTTCAGCCAGGACAAGGTCAAAACTCCCGCCCGTAACCACCAGATCTGCTCTACGGGTGGACAACCTGTCCTTCTCAGCCTGTAAGGACGAGGGACTGTCTCCCTGAAGTACCTGGATCACGGCCATCCCACCATCCATGGTCGTCAAGTCCAAGTCCCTGTTGCGAACACACTCGAGGGAACCAAGAGAGTCGGAAATCTTTGCCAGACGAGCCAGAAACTCGGTGCGGAGAGCGACCTTAGCTTCCTAAACCATGCGGTTTGCCGACTCCTCACCACTCTTGATCTGACGTTGATTTCGACGAACTTCAGAAGACTTGGTCTTCTTCGCCTTCTTTACCCTAATCAAAGAACTCGCCGTCTTCCCAACATCCCTCTCGAGTTCGCTGATCTGGGCCTCGAGCTTAGACACCTTCGTAGCATGAGATCCTTTGACAGCTTTCAGCATAGCTTCAAACTCAGACAACTTGGTCCGCGCCTCCGAAAACTCCATTGCAAGACGACTGACCTTGGTAATATTGATCATATCATCGATCAGCGACACAAACTGCAGGATAAGGCCACATTAAGAAACAAGAGAAGGAAAAAGGCTAATAGGAACCCAATATATTGTAAATAAAGGGATAAATAACAAACCTTCCCACGGAAACCTGGCATTAGGCTCGACCCCTCATACTGCGAGGGTTCCCCGTCATTGCCCCTGAAGCACGTGGGAACCAAAATTTGCACTGTCGAGTTCCGTTTATTTAAGAGCGTCAAATTAACCTAACTTTCCTAGAGGTCCAGGATATCTGCATTTTATGACCTTTCGGGCCGTTTTGCGCCTTAGCCATCTTATGATTTTAGACGGGATCGTTTCATGATACGATGCTGTTTTTATAAAACATCAATAGTCAATCGTATATTTTTGTAATCTCCAGTGTTTTTTTTAACCGTTCCCGTTTTAAATGATTTACTCGAGTCTTTACGAGAAAACAAGTCTTCAGTGGTTTTCATCGTAAAGTTCCAAAGATAATATGGATGAAGAAAAACGAGAGATATTCCGATCACAGTTCAGAGTATAATCGAGTCGAGGGGCATATGACTTGTGTCTAGGCAGTGCGGATGGTGAAGTTCGGCTTAACCAGTGCCTGGCAGAAAGACTTGGTCAGCTCGCTGGTTTGGTGAGCTGAACAGTAGGGTCAGCTCGTCAAGATGGTAAACTGGTTGGGCTCGGCCAGCTCGCCGTCTTGGCTGGATGTCACGGTCCAGCTCGCCAAGACTGCAAACTGGTTTTACTAGGCCAGCTCGCCATCTTTGCGAGCTGGATGACACGGTCCAGCTTGCTAAGATGGTGAGCTAGTTTGGCTCGGCCAGCTCACCGGCTTGGCGAGCTGGATGGTACGGTCCAGCTCGCCAAGATGGCGAGCTGGTTTGCCTCTGCCAGCTCGCCAGCTTAGCGAGCTGGATGACACGGTCCACTTCGTCCAGACGCCGAGCTTGTTTAACTCTGCTAGCTTGCCGTCTTGGCGAGTTGGATGACACCGTCCTGCTCACCAAGACAGAAAGTTGGATAGCACGGTCCAGCTCGCAAAGATGGCGAGCTGGTTTGGCTCGGCCAGCTCGCCGGCTTGGTGAGCTGGATGACAGGGTCCAGCTTGCCAAGACAGCGAGCTGTTTTTGCTCGGCCAGCTCGCTGGCTTGGTGAGCTGGATGGCACGGTCCATCTTGCAATGACGGCAAGCTGGTTTGGCTCGGCGAGCTCGCCGGTTTGGCGAGTTGTATGACTCGGTCTAGCTTGCCAAAACGGCGAGCTGGTTTGGCTTGGCCAGCTCGCTGGCTTGGTAATATGGATGGCACGGTCCAGCTCGCCATGACGGATTATCTCGTGGCCATGCTTCGACCTGGTGCTTATATCCTCCTCTACTAGGCGGTTTGGTCTTTCATTTTCCGCCTTAATTCGTGTCTATCCAAAATCTTCCATTTATCTCGATCTCCATATTTATCCTCGGAAAACTTCGATTTATCTCCAAACTTGACATGTATCTTCTTCCTGTAAATAACAGAAAACAGTCATCATATCTGTGGTCTGGAATTCGTCTAAAGTCGTAAGTGGGCCTTTATCACGTGTTATGACCTTTCGGGCCGTTTTGCGCCTTACCCGTCTTATAATTTAAGACGGGATCATTCCATGATACGATGCCGGTTTAATAAAACATCACGAGTCAATCGTATAGTTTGGTGATCTCTGGTGTTTCATTTAACTGTTGCCATTTTACACGATTTACTCAAGTCTTTACGAGCAAACAAGTCTTTGCGGTTTTTATCGTAAATTTCCAACGACAATACGGATCGAGCCGAAATGAGAGATATTCCAATCACAGTTCAAAGTATAATCGAGTCGAGGGCATATGTCTTATTTCTGGGCAACGCGGATGGTGAGGCTCGGCTTGGCTGGTTCCTGGCCGAACGACTTGGTCAGCTCGCAGGTTTGGCGAGATGGATGGTACGGTCAGCTCGTCAGGACGGTGAGCTAATTGGGCTCGCTAGATCTCTGTCTTGGTGAGCTGGATGGCACGGTCCACCCCACCAAGACTGTGAGCTGGTTTAGCTGGGCCAACTTGCCGTCTTCGCAAGCTGGATGACACGGTACGGCTCGCCAAGACGGCGAGCTGGTTTTTTTTTGCCTGCTCGCCGGCTTGGCAAGCTGGATGGTACGGTCCAGATCGACAAGACGGCGAGATGGTTTGGCTCGGCCAGCTCGCCGGCTTGGAGAGCTGGATGACGCGGTCTTGTTCGCCAAGACGGCGAGCTGGTTTCGCGGCGAGCTGGATGACACGGTCCAGCTTGCCAAGACAGCGAGCTGGTTTTGCTCCGCCAGCTCGCCGTCTTGGTGACCTGCAATGCACGGTCCAGCTCGCAATGACGGCAAGCTGGTTTGGCTCGGCCAGCTCGCCGGCTTGGCGAGCTTAAAGACTGTGGGAACCGAAATCCACACTGTCGATTTTCCGTCAAATATGGAAACTTAGGATGAAACCCTAATTTTCCCGAGGTCCTGGATCTCTGCGGAAATCACTAACACAAACGAATTAAACAGAATATGGATGAACAATGAGAACAGAGAATAAAGAACTTGTATGAAAGCTTTTATTAAATAAGAAATCGACAACTGTTACAAGAAGAATTGAAGAACTTAGACGTCGAAACGTTCTAAAGATCTGGATTGCTAGTCTAAACGCTAAGTCCTAAATTCCTAAGCTAACAGCCGTCTTTTTAGGTCTGATTTTTTCGTCCTCCTCCTCTTCCCTATGCTTCTGGCTTATATACTCCTTTCCCAAGCGGCTCAATCTTTCCATTTTGCCCGGATTCGAGTTTATCGGGAAACTTCCTTTTATCTCCATCCTTCCTTTCTTCCCGTGGAAATCTTCTATTTATCTTCAAACTTGCCTTTTATTTCCCTTCTGCGAATAAACTGTCAAAACGTTATCATATCTTCTGGTTTGATTTCATCAATATCGCGAGATGGGTTTTTATCGTGTTTTAGGACCTTTCGGGCCGTTTTACGATAAAAACCGTTTTACGATTTTATACGAGATCGTTTCCTGATCCGACGACGTTTTTTACAATTTTCTCGACACTTTTTTATTAAAAACGCGTTTTTATGACTTTATCAAAAAATCTTGGATAAATCGTATAGTTTAGGCGATGTTCGGTGTCTTGCTCAACCGTTACCGCTTTATACGATTTCTTCGAGTTCTTTCGAGAAAACGGAGTTTTACGGTTTTTATCGTAAAACTCAAACGATAAGTCGGATCAAGACGAAACAAGAGACATTTTGGCTGTGGTTAAGAATGCGACCATGTCGAAGGACGTAAGTTTTGAATCGAAGATGCGGGAGATCAAGGCTCGGGATGATCGGTTCAGCGTACGGAGAATCGGGTCGGTCCGGTCCAGCTGTCCGAGGAGTTTCTAGTTCGCCAGCAGGCGAACTAGTCAGGGTGTTCCTAGTTTGCCTGCTGGCGAACTAGTCGAGAGGCTCCTAGTTCGCCTGCTGGCGAACTAAGCCGGGCCGGCTTAGTTCGCCAGCAGGCGAACTAGTCAAGGGACTCCTAGGTCGCCTACTGGCGAACTAGACGAGAGACTCCTAGTTCGCCTGCTGGCGAACTAAGCCGGGCTGGCTTAGTTCGCCAGCAGGCAAACTAGTGGAGAGGCTCCTAGTTCGCCTGCTGGCGAACTAAGCCAGCTCGGCTTAATTCGCCAGCAGGCGAACTAGTCGTGACTAGTTCGCGTTTTGCGGCGGTTTCGGTTTTGGCGGTATTGTCAAACGATTTCTCGAGTTTTATAAAACTATCTTCGAATTTTATAAAAAAATCTTCGAGTTTTATAAAACGGCTTCTCTAGTTTTATAAAACGGCTTCTCGAGTTTTATAAAACGGCTTCTCGAGTTTTATAAAACGATCTTCGAGTTTTATAAAACGGTCTTCGAGTTTTTTAAAACGGCTTCTCGAGTTTTATAAAACGATCTTCAATTTTTATAAAATGATTTTCGAGTTTTATAAAACGGCTTCTCGAGTTTTATAAAACGATCTTCGAATTTTATAAAACGATGTTCGAGTTTTATAAAATGATCTTCGAGTTTTATAAAACGACTTCTCGATTTTTATAAAACGATCTTCGAGTTTTATAAAACGGCTTCTCGGTTATATAAAAAGATTCTCGAGTTTTATAAAACGATTCTTGAGTTTTATAAAACGATTCTCGAGTTTTATAAAACAATTTTTGCGGAAAGTAATGATTCCATTTTTTTCAAAAGTTATCGTAGACGTTGATTTCGAGATTACGGTTTTAGACACCAACAGTTAGCCCCCCAGCCCGCAATTTCTTGAGGAAATTTTGCGGGTGGATGGAGTTAGTTTTTAATCGGAATCTACGGCTGAGATTTGTCTCATTACGAGGGAGAGCACTTTCTTTTCTATAAGTATTGGATCATTTCTTCTCATATCTTTCACCTGTCAAGTTTCTCTCCAACTTCTCTCTAGAAAAATCTTTAAGATGTCTTCTTCCCAAGGTGATCAACAAAACTCTGAGGTCCCATCCAGTGACAACCCTACGGCTCATCTGCAGGATGCTCGGATTTCCGAGTTTCTCTTGTTTCAAGACGAGATGGACCGTAGCGATGCTGAGGAAGACGCTGTGTCGAGCGACGTACCCCCGGTAGATCCATCCGTCCTTGTGAGAGAGGTCAAGGCTATTTTGGACAAAACGACGGATACGGTAGCGGACTCCTCGACGGGCGCTACTACTGAACCGTCGAGTGTGCCTGCTGTTTCGCCCCTCCTTGCAGCCGAAAATGTTGCTATTTCTGCTGAGATTGGAATAGCCGTAGCTCCCACCATGGTAGGGTCGGTCGTGTCTCCAACCGTGGTCAAACCGGTTGCGGCTCTAACCGCCGTCGAATCGGTTACGACTCCTGCCGCAGTCTAACTGGCTGCAGTTCCTACTGCGGTTGATCCAGTCACGATTCTGGGGCCTTCTGCTCCGGCCAAGAGGGTGATTGTCTTGGGACTTCCGGCACTTAGCGCGACGCTGCCAGCTTCAGCGAAAGGCCGCTAGAGAACTCGTCCGAACCCTGATGCTCCCACGAGAAAGAGAGCCGTGAAGGGTTCCGAGACCGGAGC